CAAGAAAAGTCAATTAACATCAATTATTTCCCATCACGATTCTTGTAAACCTTAAAAAAACTTCATTCATAAAAGCTTTCAGAATTTTGCACATTTAACACTAGTAAATTCAATAACTCGCAAATTGTGACATGAATCACAAATGAACTGAAATGAAACTGCATTTTATATGTTTTTCACAAGTTATCGATACGATTAAGCCATAAAGATGCAAATGTGTTTCGTGAGCAGTGTATTTTGTGTGTGATTGTGAATAAATTAAACGTTTGTTCGTTTTTTTCCTTTGATCAATTTGAAAATAATTATAATTAATGAATTCATTGAAGCAGTGCTTATTAAACTATGTTTCGCGTGATGCTTTAGGTGTGTCGTGAGATTTATCAGGAAATATTATTAAACTCATTTTTCCAGACTAAGTTTCGAGTTTTTGAATATATTTTTGAAAGAAAAAAGGAAATGCTGAGTACAACTAGGTTTATTTCTTAGTCTTTTAAGCCAACTCAAAAAACTTTCCCTTAAAGCTCAAAACACCTCAGAGTTGTGACCATAAGAGTTTAGCAGGCACTGCATTACATACTTCTCGCTGCAAACACAAATTCATTTAATGCTCAAGCACAAGCCTCTCATGTAATAATGATATTCAGTGGAATTTGGCTCTATTTTGTCTGCCTGAATTCCATAAAACTCATGAATGTGGAAAAATTTTATTACAAAATGTAATTTAATTAATTTAAATGTAGCAAAAAGTTCTTCATGATTTTCCTCGCAACCAGCAATTATGGCATGCAATATATCCAATCGTAAATCACTTAAAATGTTTCCATAACACATTTTTTTAAGCGAGAAGAAGAAAAAAGGAGCAAATTACGGAACAGAGAACACAATTGAATCAATGATACTCGTTTTAACTCTTTCCACAATTTGAATTCCTGCTAAGTGGTTAGGTAATGAATCCTTATAATCTTCTTTTTTGCTGTCAATTTTCTTTTCACTTGTTGTAAGGACAAGAACTTGTTCAATCAATGATTCATTCACTCACTTATCAAGAAATGTTCAAGTAGATTGTACATATACGAACATATGTATATCAATAACACAAGAACGTCATTCTCATCGACTTGAAGTGGAATCATCAAAATATCGATTTCAAAAATGTTTTTTTTTCCCCTTCTTAAGGAAACTCTTGAAGATGTATTTGCTCATTTTTTTTTTTCATATCATCCCAGTATGAAAAAAATCTTAGATTTTTATATAGATTCGTGTCATTTTCATGTTCAGAAGTTTAAACCTTAAAATAATTTTCTATAACATGTTAGTTTCCCAGCAATGTCCATAAAAAAAATCATAAAACTTTAATTACATGCTGGTTTATCAAAAGAAACTTTAGAAACTTAAAAAATATTCATTTTAATGCTTTGTTATGTGAGCATGTAAAAGTATTCATCATAAATTGCTCTCCATTTTCATTATTTGATGATTTAGCTTGTTTTGTGTCCTTCTAGCTTTCTCGTTGACCATTTTTTTTATTGCATCGCTGTGTGTTCATTTTCCCTTAATTTTACTCATCATTCCTCTTGATGAAAAAATGTAATTTTAGAAAAGTTTTGGACAGTGGCTGATAAAATGTGTGATGTGGCCCAAATTTGAGTTGTGCAGGTAAAGTTGTTAAGAATGTACTCAAAGGTCTCTCAGTTAAGGTTTGGGGCAATCCACGAATTTTTAAAAGTGACGGAAGTCTTTAGCTTTGTGACACCAACATTCAAAAAAAATTGTTGATTCACAAGGTTGAGCAGCCCCTAAACTTCAACAGAACAAAAAATTGTTTGTTTATAAGATTACGTCGTAAGACAAAAAGATATCATAATGGATAATTGGAATGGAACGAGACATTTTTCCCATTCTTAGTCATCACTGCTGAATATAAATAAACTTGAAGTACTAAAAGGCAAATCATGAAAATTTAAAAAGCTATATAACTTGTGATGACGACAATTATTACGACGATGGTACTAGAATGGGAAATGACTGTAAAGGTATAATAATATATTAAGTGTCTGATAGTACTAGCAATAAAAGAATAATATCAACACTAGTAGCCCAAACAAAAAATGCCTAAACAGAATCTTAAAAAGCCGATTGAAGTGGAAGCTTCATTAAAAGTGGTTGTTATGAATATTTTATAATGGCAATTTACATAATTTTTGTGCTGCCTCTGCAAAAAAGTTTCTGTGACACTCTGTGCTCTACGTCTTTTTTTTCGGTAATAAGATTTTTCCATGTCTCTCTCGTAATCGATTTTATTCTCTTAAAATGTAAATTTTGCTGCTGCTGGAAATCAGGCATCAATGTTAAAAAGTAGGTAACTAGATTAGCTTGGCCATAAATAAAGTTAATTAAACTATATATTCCAATTCTTTTGATAGAAATGTCATCCTTTTTTCTCGCATCAATTTCCCATCCTCTAAAGGAAAATGTCTGCTTTGTGTGGGCTTAATCGACCTGTCATATATTTTCATGTCACATTTTTTTTCGCGCACGATAGCACAAAAGGAGTGTAAGCTGCTTTATTTGGTGTAAGGGTTTTCCTTCCTTACAAATAAATTTTTCTTCCAAGGACGATAATAAGGAATAAAATCATTGGATGATTTATTGGATACTTTAACATAAAATTTATGTTTACAATGACAAATTAAAGATGATTCATGAAAACTATTCGCAATACAATCAATCAATTGCTTCACAAATTGACTCAATGACCTGACAAAGAATTAAGTTTTTGCGTGTAAAATCACGACAGATGATAAATAAAGTTAATAGCTTTCATTTTAGTTTAAGTGTTGCTATCTCTAGACACAAAGTATGCTTTGATCTAATTAAATATGGATACGGCAATTTAAAGTGTGATAAGATATAAGGGGTCGTTTATAAGTTATGTCTGCATTAAGCACGTGGAAAGCGTAGTGTGTGTTTATTTTACGTTATTAGGTTAAATCTTAATTTCAAGGATTTACTGATTATATGCAGCAGTGTGGCATGTAAAGAAGAATCTTCAGAAGGGTTGATTCCCATGCATCAGCAGAACATCCCTTGCCTGAACTTTCTCTGAGTTAAATTTAAAGTTAAACTCTTAGTCAATGATCTTGTAGCTTTCTACATTTAAATCCATTCTCAAACCGTCAGACCTTTTCTACCTGCTGAATGTTTGACATTATTGGTGAACCAACCCCACCAAGACACACTCGCAATTCTTCTTATCTATTATTCAATCGACAACATAACTTTCCAACCTTTATGAGGGAAAATAAATTTAAATTAAATGAAAGACACTTCTTGCCCTTTGGAAGCACCACTTTTTTTTAAAAAAAAAGTGTCTTCTCAAGGGTTTGTAAACAGATGGCAAAAACAAAGCGCAAAGCAAAGAAGAAAATTAATTTTCCTCAAGTTTCAAGTGGATTTTTTTTTTCACTTTATTCTTATTTTTTTATGTTTCCTTTTCGCATTACTTTATACACTCTCGAGAGTGCTATTGCTTTATTTGATTAGATGAATCTTTTTTTTTTGTTGCATATTATTTCGTTTTCTAAGTCTTGTTATGATTGTGCTAAAGAGTCTATGTTCTATATTCTATTTTATGCTACTTTCACTCGCGTTACTTGTGCATTTTTGCATGTTTCTTCTTTTATGATGCGCGAAAATTCTTTCGTTTTTCTTTTTATTTCTTCTCTTATTCTTGTCGTGTTCCTTAATCCACATCAATTTAGATTTTGTTACAAAAATAGAATTGAATTAAATTCAGATCTTCTCTTTTTAAAATGTTTTCATCTTCTTTTCAATTTATGAAAATCCATTTTTTTTATGAATTTAAAGTGAAATGTTTTTTTTTTGTTTTTATAAAATGAAACATTTTAGCAAGCCTATGATTTTATTCCACTTATTTGCTGATTGAAAAGGCTCTCAGATTACATGAAAATTGACAGAAATTAATTGCTGACTGTAGATTGCTTTTATACATTGTAGAGAAGATGATAAATACTTGTGGATGTTCTGATTTAGAATTTTTTGTATTTAAAAATTGATTTATTAAAAATGAATTTGCGAGTTTTGCTTAAAAATTAATTTGAACATATTTAAAAAATGAAAAAAAAAAATAATAAAAAGTTTTAATAATGAAAAATATAAATTTTCTAAATTGAAATAAAATTAAAATATTTTTTTTTTAAAATTTCAAAAAATCAAGATTTAAACTTAAAAAAACTTTTTAAAATTCAATTAGGAATTTAAACTTTATCTTTGCAACAACTTTAACCGATGATTCAATTTTTTAAAAAATCTTGTATTAAATTTCAAACGAGCTTAAGATTTGATTTTTAGGTCAAAGTATTTTATAACTTTTGTATTAAATAAAATTCTGTACTTAGCTGTGATACCAGAAAATTAATTACTCAGAATGTATTTTTTTTTTTTATAAAAACACTGGAAAATCCACAGAAATAATTTTTATCACTTTCATTTAGATTTATACTTCATTTTTAACAGTCCTGGTTTTATTTCATTTCCCGCTAACTGTTCTTACTCGTAAATAATTTCAATTTCAATCGGAAATTCTATGCATGATCCAAAACCAAACAAAAATGATTTTAACATCTGCAAAATCTAAACATGATGAAATACGAGCAAATTTTCTGAATGAATGGCATCAATGGAACTTATAAATTTACTATTAATGATGCTCGTAGGATGTCGAGAAGGAGTCAAGTGTAAACAGAACTCAATTTCCACAATTCATAAAGTTTCACAATTATGAACATTTCCTCATGAAATCACAATTAAATTTTATTCCTGCACATGCATAATTAAGTAACGAAAAATTTGTCAAGTTCATTCATAAGTTATGAAGTTTTTGAGGCAAGAAAAGTTGTTCGTTCATGAAGACATTTTTTGAATGAAGCAAAATATTCATAATTAAGTAAAGAAGAACTCAAGATAAAATGGAAATTTACATTTTATTCATATGAAGCAGCAGCATCCACTAAATAAACACACAATTTTTCTTTTAATTCTTCCTGTACGGCAAGAATTTAATTCTTTTCCTTTTTTTCAAACTTTAAAAAAATTGTTGAGATGAGAAAAGTTTTTTTTTCACCGCGACAGTTCTTAACGAATGCAATTAAGTTGTTGGTAACGACTTCTAGTCCTCAACAGCACTTCACATGCAATTATGAAGTCAAGTTCCTTTTTTTCTACTTTTACTTAAAATTAAAAAAATAATCAGAAATATTTTCAGAGATATTTCAGAAATATTTCCTCTCGTTTTCCGTGCGACCGGCTTGAATGCTTCACGATGACTAAACTGAATGAATATCGCTCGTCACGAGATTACAGAAGAAAATTTTTTTTTATTTTATCTTTTTTTCTTCTCTCTTCACCATAAAGCATACAGCACAGCTAAAACGTGCACGATGCGAAAAAAAAAATAACTTTACATGAATAATAACAAAACATTCAGCATTGAAACATTTGTTTTGAAAACATTGGGAAAGGCAAAGCATGCGAAATTCGCATCGTCTGTTGATTCCTCGTCTTATCACACATCGGACAATGTACATATTAAATTTTATATTTATAGTATTACAACGCATGTTTTGCTTCATAAGTTTGTCACATAAATAAAATGTAAATTATTATAGTAGCAATGTTTCATCATATATGGGCAGCATGAGGCATGAAAAAAAAAATAAAGTATAAAGAATGGAAGCAGAAAAATAAAATTAAATGCCCATTGAATAAACATAAATCAGAACATGATTTTTCTTAATGACTTGATTTAAATGCATTGCTAAATGTTTACATTTAATTTCATCTTTTTGTATGTTTTTATACAAACCACTGCGCAACTTTTATGCTTTATTGTCGCGGAATGAAAAAAATTATAAATGGAAATTATAGTAATTGCGATTGGTGATTAAAAAGACGTAAATGTGTAGTTCCTTGGGTGGATTGTTTGCGATTTTTATCGTGTGAATCAGAGTTTATTTTGAGGGTCATTCACTGGGATGTAAAAGGAGGGTTAGTCTCGAAGGTTGGTCGCTATTGGTACCCGAGGCATCCTATTCCCCGTCTCGCGTCCCCCAAATAATTGGCACTATAATGCAAAGTGTTGGAATCTGAATGGATGTTCTGTTAATTCTGTTGATCCGTTGATCCAAGTCACTTCAAGTATTCACTAAAATTCCACAAATTAACCCATCATCAACACAAATACCTCAAAAATGCAAATAGTTTTTCAGGAAGCTGCTAGATAAACGACTTAGTAACGCCATAATTTTCTACGAAACTCTCATGAACAAAAATTCAACATTATAAAATTCTTTCGCATAAACTTGGGCATACATAATAATTTATAAAGGCAAATGAATTATAAATCAACCCTCAAACTCAAACTGATGATGATGATGATATTTTATCATCTGCTATCGTGTAATCTCGTTTACACAGTAATATTCTCTATCTAGGCATAACTCTTGCTCTACTATCATATCCACAATAAGGCCCTTTTTTCATTGCTCTTGGATTTATGCTAGGCTTTCAGAAGAATAAGTATAAAATTGCTCTTAAATGATTTATTTACATTATAAGTTCTCGCTCTCTTTTTCTCCTTCATTCTGTTCTTACAACGATCGATTATGTCTTCGACCACAATGAGAGAGATTCGTGTTTTACGATATAGAAAGGCATGTCAGTAATATTGATAATCTCTGATATGATGTTTAAACATGAAGTTGTTATCGATCGAAAAATTACATGCTTTTAATGCTGCATTCTACAAGTTGGAATACAAATCGTCGCACTCACGGTTTAATGCTCTACTCTGTGTGCGCAGCATACAGCATACCATTCTACTGAGTTATCGATCTTTATTTAAAAAAATAATGTAATTAAATCGTAAATTTTATGTGTAAGTAATTTTCAATTTTTTGTAATCAATGCTGCCGGAAATTTCATAAATTCATGTCGATATGAAGTATCAACTTCAGAGCTTGAATCATCGAGATCTGTTGAAAACAATATTTTAGCGATTAACTCATTGTTTGGAAATAAATATCATGATCTCAAATGTGATTTGCTAGTCTCAACAATGAAGTTGCTTTCTGATTGATTTTTTTTATATTTGGGAAGCGGAATGATCAATAGACTAAAGTGTAGCTATTAAATTTGCATATAAATTTATTATAAAAAAGTTGTCATTGCCAATTTCAGTGCTTTTTCTTGTTCAATTGATTGTCGAATCCCTTAAATAAATTTTTATTGGATGTTTGTCATTGACCTTTCATAAATCATTAGCTATGGGATGAAAACGTCCATTAGATTCATGTTGTGAGCTTTGGAAGAGAACTGCTAAGTTCGAAAGCTTTAAAAAGCTAGATGCAGTGTCTAATTAAACACGAGCCAACCCTTCAACAGATAAATTATTTTCAAAAAAGATTTTCTTTGATTATGAATATCTAAACTATGTTTTGGAACCTAAGCTTCACATGAGAACAAGTAAAAAATTATAATATTAGCAAATGACCCCAAAAACTCAAAAGAAAGTGAAAAAAAAGTCCTCCAAAAACTGAAATAAAAAACAAACTTGTCAAAATAAAAAAAAAGTTGAGTGCTAAGAAGAACAAGCAAATCCATTTGTTCTCTTTACAGTCAATATGAATCAACCGAGTGCAATCTATTTAAATGTAAATTTCTCGCAAAACGAGCTTGAGAGTGAAAAACAATTGAAATTTTTTCAAGTATTGCGCAATGTTTGAGCAATTTACATCAATTTACAATTTGCATCATAAAAAATTGTTATTTCATTGTTGTTTGTCGCTCCTTTTTATTTATTTTTATATATATTCATCATCATCGCTTTGTGAAATGAGCGAATGTGTCGATTCTTTTTTTAAATGATGTACGAAGATGAAAAAAGTTTATATTTTATCGATAAAATAATGAAAATTTTTACAAAGAATTTCCCTTTTTTTCTGTAAAATTTTCCATCATTGTTTATTAAAATATTTAGGGTCAACAAAGTATGTAAATTCTCATGCATCGATCAATAAGGATGCAAACAACAAGGAAGATGAAATTCTAAATTTTATAAGCTATGACATTAAATGACAATTATCATAAACGTTCACACAAAATTACTCAATATCGTGTTTAGAGATAATTAAAAAGTAATTTAAATATTGATGAGAATTTTATTGAAAATTGGTTTTAAACTGATACATAAATATTATTTAATGATACTTCAGCTGTAGATAATTTTAATTATATAGATATGATGCATATATTAAATGGTTAAATTATTATCAGATCAGTTTCATATTAATTTGTGGTTTTGACACTAGGAAGGAACAGATTCTCATTGCGATACTTAGGATGGTGACTCTTTAAGCTAGATTTGTTTAAACTGGAAAATGATTAATGTAATTTTGAATACTTTTCTTGCATAATATCAAGTCAACATGTGTCCAGGGGTGATTTTCAACAATAAGTAACTCAATATTCCATATTTTAACAATTATCATGTCAAACCTTGAAAGTTCTTCAAACAATATGTATGAAAATTGAAAAAGTCTAGCTACTATCTATAAACATCTTTGGACTTCTACTGAGTTATATCCTAAACCAGTGTTGTCCAAACTTTTTTGCGACACGGCACACCTTAGGGGTAAGCCATTACCAAATTCACACATAGCATTCGGCTCGCATCATTTACAAAAAATTTCTACAGCACATCAGTGTACCGCGGCACACAGTTTGGACAACACTGATTTAAACCATCTAAACAGCAACCATGTTAAACATGTAAAATAACACCTTAAATAAGCTTTATTTACATTTGCTATACATCATCTTGTATCAAGATTTTCCACCTACACAGTCTATACTTTGGCATTTCACAGATCTTAACCGTAAAAGTTCACAAATTCAAGCTTCCCATGACTTTTTTAAAGCTACAAACTTCCATCTTCCTCCTCCCACAGCTCCAATTTAAATCTAAGCAGCCCATAACTCTCACATCCTTCTCCTTAGACATACCAGTCATCACACTTGAATGACTCCCCTATTATAATATCGAATGCTGTCTTTTTTAATGAAAGAGAATCAATTAAAAAAGATTTTATTTATTCGTGTTTACCAAGACGAACTTCTTCAGCATCGTCAACAAATTCGACACACAAAAAGCATTAAAATCAACATAATTTTCATAACAACATTAAATTTTAATCTTCTCATTTCTCATAATGAATTAATGAAGAGGATAAATTTCCTTTTTTTTTTTGTTGCCAGAGATTGTTTAATTATTTTTGGATTGCATAAACTGTTTATGCTGAACAATTTCAGACAGCAATTATAGAGTTTCCTACTCTAATTAAAATGACAGAAATTTTGCTTTTGTTTAATGATGAAAATTCATTATCATAAAAAAAAAGTTTTCAAAGGGACGAGAACGAGGAATTAGCTATGACGATTTTATTGTTGATGACATTAAAAATGTACAAAAAAAAGTTTTTGAGGAACATTCTTCCACAGAATTGATTTTCATAATGGCTATTTCAGTTAAATAATTTTAATTTATAAAATGTAGAACTTTTCAAGCTGTTTCTGACATTTTTATTTCTAATCGAATGAAGGTTCTGATCAGAAAATTTGCATAATAGTCTATTGTTTGCAGCTTTAACTTCATAAACATTTAAAATGTTCAGATTTAATCAGGAATGCAGCAATTGATGTAATCTTGTTCCTTTTGGAATTGCTACGTTTGGTTATTTGCATATTAAGCTATGCAAATTATCAACCCGAGGAGCACATGAGGATGGTTGCTGCTGGGTTTTCTCATGTAAAAAGCTTCGAATCTTCAGACCATTGATCAAAATTACTGCAGTTGACTAAGTGTCTTCTTATACGAGCCTTTTATTGATTCTAGTTTCTCAAGTTGACTAGCTTATAACTCTGCGTGGTATCAAGAAGCTGTCCAACTGTCCTACTTTTGAACGGGACATTGCAACTTTTTTTTAAAAAAATCCCGTCTGAATTCCTTAATTTCCCGCTTATTTGAACCTATTTTTCTTGGAAAATGCTTGAAAATTTGGTCTGTCACGCTTTGTCAGAGCTGAAATCGCAACATGTCCCGCTTTTTGACCAAAAATTGGCAAAATCCGACGGACAGCTTTGGTAAGAAGACTATTCATTCTAGAACCTTAAGATTATAAACCAACTTTTAACCTCCAAAAAAATCTCTAAAGCTCGGGCACATCACTCAAAGACATTTCAAACTGAAAGTGAAATTTAACGTATCATGTAACTAGTTCATAAGAAGCTTAGCATACAACTTGTCAGCTCAATTCATTATATCCCTTAACGTTCATTCACTTTTCTATTAAGTTTATTAAAAATTTTTGATGTAATAAGTATAAAAGCTTTTTAGTGACACAACATGAAAAAATAGATTAAAATTCCTCGTATATCAAACGACAAAGTAGTGAAATTCCTCAGATATTTCTTCATTATGACTCTCACTCATTCAATAAAATTCCGCAAATATCATTGAACATTAGCACGACATAGCAAATAATATCAGTTCTATAATATTCATCATTTCTAGGTCGAATCAGTTGAACTTGCATTAAATGTTCTCGATGGATATGACGTACGAGGCAACAAAATTAAGGTGGAGCGTGCTGAATTCCAAATGAGAGGCGAATACAATCCAGCACTCAAGCCACGTGTTAGGAAGCATGAGAAGGAGAAAATGAAGAAAATCCAAGAGAAGTAAGTGTTGTCATAATGCTGTATGATCTAATAATTAATAATCAAATCTCATATCCACAAAAGGCTATTTGATTGGCGACCCGAGAGAATGCGCGGAGAACGTGGTAAGCACGAGAAAGTTGTAATCATTAAAAATTTCTTCGATCCATCACTATTTGATCGTGAAGTGCATTTAATAATCGATTATCAGAATGACATACGTGACGAGTGCAATAAGTGCGGAACTGTTCGTAAAGTCATCGTGTATGATGTGAGTAAATGAATAAATTATTGACAAAAATGTTAATTACTATTTATTACGTGATGTGACTTTAATTTAATATCTCGATTTACAGCGTCATCCAGAGGGTGTTGTTCAAGTGACAATGGCTGATCCAGATGAAGCCGATCTTGTTATAAAATTAATGAATGGAAGATTTTTCGGTGAACGAAAATTGACTGCCGAGACGTGGGATGGAAAAACGAAATATAAGTAAGTATGACAATTGATGATGCCTGTTGGCCATTTCTTCTTGTATTATTTTTATATCCTGATACTCAATCTTACTTTAATGTGTTTAGGATCGATGAATCTGAGACCGATAAGACCGAGCGCGTTCAGAAATGGGAATCGTTCTTGGAAACAGGCGAGGAGGCTAAAAAAGACATTACAACAGATGAAGTGAAATCAACAGAAACAGAAACAATATCATCATCATCAACTGAAGGGCCTGTAGCCGAAGAACAACAGCAATCAGAAAGCGATAATGTTGAAGCAGAAATAGAGTCAAGCTAAAAAAAGTATCTTTCAATACAATGAATAATGTACTCTTTATGGATGTAAAAAGAAGAAGAAAAAATAATAATAAAAAAGGTTTCAATGCTTTATTGCGGTTTTCATTTCTAGAATCACATCCACAGTACGTATGGAAAATGCAGAAGAAAAAGAAAAGTTGTTGGGAAGAGAGAGATTTTTTTCGGGTCTTTTTGTTGTTATATGTTTACAGGATATTGATTTTCGTCTTCTTAAAAAATGTATGTATATATGCTACATGTTCACAGATACAATATTATTGTGGAAGGTTATAATGTATGTGCAGGGATTTTCTTATACATGGGGATGACTAGTCCAAATATTTATTTAGTAAAGAATCGGGTTTAATTAAGGAAGCGCATTTATTGTTTATGGCTGTTAAGAATATACGTAAGCAGTAGAGTTGTTAAGGCATTTCTGGCTTCATCTAGGACTATGGAATGTTTCGTTCAATAATTTAGGTGGTATAGAAGATTCACTATTGGATATTGAAGCTAATCCAGTCCAATTAGCCTCAAGCAGGTGTCAAAAAGTCTTGAAGTCAACACTGTGACGTAGCAAAGCCATTGCCACTATGCTGAACCACTCGTGTAAGTCAATAACCCTCAAAAAAGCTCTAAACTGCTGTTTTCCATTTTCCCGCCAAAATAATACCATCCAAACTCAAACTCACCAACCCATTCATGTAAAAACCCACTTTAGAACATCCACAAAAACTGTAGCTTTTTCTCACATTTTACGTTTATCGCCATCCTCATCATCATCAAAGACAACAAAATGCCTTTTCTTAAAGATATTTCATTATTTTCGAGACTTAATTTAAAGCGTTTTGTCCGTTTACACAGCACAGCCATCGGCGAAATTAAAATAAAAAGATATTAAGGATGTTTACATGAGATTAATGGCATTTTGTAGACGCAATTCTGAAATTTAGTACGTTTAAGCTTCAAAAGCTTTTCCGGAGCAGAAGATAAAATGACAAGAGCAAGTCAACAAAATCAGGTAGTTGTGCAAACAATATTTTGAATGATGTGCTGAAAGTAGGACGAGAGTACATAATGCAGTCAATTTGTCAATATTAAAATCCTCAATTGATGAGAAATTTACGTAATTGAATATTGTAGAGAGTACTTAAGGCCGGGAAGCGCAAGAAGAGGTCTTGGATGGAATGTTGAGAGCATGGGATCTTACAGCGTACTGTTCTATCGAGTTTCATGAGCAGTTTAAGGCATTAAGGAATTACCTTTTTAATATTGAGTGAGATAAAGTCCGTACAACTCTATCAAGAGAAGGAGGGAAAATTCAAATTACGTTCCAAGTGACTTTAGTGGTCTAAACTTTAAAAACGTAGTTAGCTACCAATACTGACACATCCAGCTCATGTTATGCATGCACTGTAGTACAAGAATTGAAAACGACACTGGTAAAGTGATTTCTGAATTTGGACTCTTAGTCGTGCTACTCGGGATAGATCTAAAATAGAAAATACTATGAAGCTTCCTTTCTTTCTCTCTTTGTTGTCCGTTTTCTTACGGATTTAATTTAAGAACTAACAAAAAGACAGCATGGATTGAAATAGGGTCAATTGTAAATGACGGTATTTATTAAAAATATTTCAATGCTTTATCAACAGGACATTAGTTCTTCATATATTTAAGGATTGTCATAAGTTGGCAATAAGAAATGAGCAAGTTTTATATTTTTCAGCAGTACTTCTTCCTCAATGCTTGACATCATGAACAAATGCTTCCAAAATGAGCATGAAGACACGAATGTGAACATTTATTTTATGTAGTTTTTTAATCTTTTAAAGAGCAAACTTTCCTTTCCTTCACTTCCATCATGGACATAATAAAAAATTTACTTAGATTGTGATGCTCAACTCTTTTCACAATATTGGTTCTTGTTTTCATTCCAAAACTTGCTCAGAACATTCTCAATTTTTAATTGAAATTTACTCCTGAATGATATATGATTGGATGTGATGTAAAGTCAAAAGGTGAATGGAACTGCTCAGTTCTCGGTGTGGTTTTTTGTGATGTCAAAAAAAACTTGAAAATCGTGCGAAAAATGCTGAATCAATATTTACAAAAAAAAACATATTTTGATTGCATCGAATTTCCTTCCGTCCTTATGAAATTATAATGAGGCCATTTTTTGTCCCGTCCTCGATTGAAAATCAATTTTTTTTTTTGCTCAAACAAAAAAATGAGCACAATATGAGTGTGGATCATTATTACTCATAATGATTATTAATGGGATTTTGAAGGATTGAACACTTCATTGATGCTTGATTGTTTAGACCTTGAGAGGGAAAATTTGCGCTAATCTTCTCATATGCAGGGTAGGCTTGTTGAATATAGTTACAAATAATATGGGTTAAAGTTAATTTGAGTGGCACATCGAGTAGAAAAGGCAAAAATGACATTAGGTCAGGATAAAGTTAGCTCAGAATCAGATTTCATCGAATTTGTCTCAATGCCAGCCTCATGACAGTCTTTGTAAATAACTGTAAGCAGGACTGAACAGTAACTGTTTGGAAAAGTTGATCTGTGGTTCCAACAAAGAAAGATTTTGCTCAGAAAGTTCATCGAACTCTTAGTTTGTGTTCCTTCATAATCCAGAAATTCCTTTCCAATTCGAAAGCTTGCTGCCAATTGTGACATCAAAACTGATATTAGAAGCAATTAAAAATGGTCAATTCGCATGTCTCCTTCTGATTAATACATTCTCAACAACAATACCAAATAAAATGCTACAAAAATTCATCCAAATGTATTAAAGCTATCATTTCAACCAGAAAATCTCAGCCATAAGAGTTTTATGTAATAACTCTTATCACAACTGACCAGCATGATTGTTTTTTGACTTCTGATTGAGTGATTTCATTAAATAGCACATTGAACTTTAACCGCAATACTTTTCTTATTACATTCCATCACACATGCATTATATCCATAAGTTTACGAAAATTTGTGCACATAAAACTTTTTAAATTGCTGTAAAACCTCAAAAACTTTACAAACCAATCATTGAAGCTGTGATGTCTCACTAGCTTTCCATCCCCGGATAGAGAACAATTACAGCAGTCAATAAACATTGACATTGATATTGAGAGATTAATGGAATTTTTTTTTCATCTCCATTTCGACAGTAATTAGTGAGCAGAACAGAAATAAAACACAACAATTTCATATCCTATTTTATGACATTAATCATTATGATTTACAATAGCAACAAGCTTGTTGAAATTTAATATGTTATTGATTGAGTGTTGCTATGTGTATAGTACGTACGTACGTTATGAAAGAAAGATTGCGAATTATTATTGCTAAGATATTTCATGCATTCTTTTACGGATTTTTCACCGCAGGTAAATTTTTCCACAATTGATTCGGTGGAATTTTGTTACTGTGCCGAGTAAGCTGTAATATTATGTAGATCTAGGTGAGATAATGTTGACGAATTGGCTTCGAATTGATGCTTGGCTTGGGGATAGTCAGATTTTTATGGAGAGTATTTCCTGGGTCTTCCCTTAAAAGCATTATCAATTGGAAGAATCCATGGGCGTAGGCAGAAGATGGATTTAAATGGGATCTGGACTATTGCCTGATGGATTTTTCAAAAATTATTGTAGATTTTTGGAATATTCTCAATTTTGTATTTTGTATTATTGTAGATTTTTGGAAAAAAGTAAAATAGTGAAATTTTAAAATTAATACATCAAATCTAATACATTGCATCCTCTGCAGAAATTAGAGAAAGTATAATACAGTTTATTTTTCTTAATTACTCTGAACTCAATTCCAAGCTGATAAGGATTTGTATTAATTAGCTACTATTTAAAGATGTTAAAGCTTACCCGAATAGTACATGTTCGATAATCGATCAGAAATCAAATCAAGCGCCAGAGTCATTCTGGATTTCTGATCGATTTGACGTGTACGATTCGGGTATGTTTCATTTGGCAACCAAGCTGAAACAGATCACAAGTTGTTACTGAAGAAATCAGGATAGTAAAAATTTTGTGAATTAATCATTCACTTTTGGATAATATTACATCAATTTTTAAGCTTTCGGGATAATAAGAAATAAAAAATAAGAAGGTTGTTGCGGCGCGGGGGTTGGTTCCAATTTCAGATATAAATTTACTTATTATTCAACAACTAGCGAAAGAATTAACAGTCGGTGATTCCTCAAAGATAATCCACAATCTCAACTTTTATCTTCAATAATATTCTATCTATTTAATTAAACCTAAGCTCACAACAAGGAAACAAAATCATAGCTTGACTCATAATTATCAAAATACATCAAACGTAAACGATAATTCCTTACGCACATTTCGAATCGTTATCATTTTTATAAAAATAAAAACCTATTTAATCATTAGTTTATAATCAGCGATAGTTCAAATGGAAAGCTATAAAACTCAAGGTGAACACTTTTTTCGATAAGGAACTCGATAAAAATGAATGAAGTTATGACTTATTGTCGCAAAATGGAATTTTAATTGATGTAAAATAGTAAATGGAAGTTTTTAAGCAAATCAGATGGATTGGAATTCAAAATTTGGAGTTCAAGGTTTGCATGACGTCATATTGCTTATTGTGCTTGGTACTTGTGCACTATCTTGGCACTGAATCATTCGTTTAACATCATCAGCTTAATTTTGAATCCAAGCAATAATAAAATTCAACTTAATTCTCAAAAGTCCAACTTTTCAATCCAAAACCCAATTTTCCAATAAAACACAGTTACTACTCCTTAAAAAGTAATCAAATAGGCACAAATCACATCCAGTGCGATAACGTCATAAACTCTACAAATTCAATACATTGTTTAAAACTTTCATACTTTTGTATTGAATTGATTTGAAGCACTTTATGCACCTCAATTCCGGTGCATGTGTAGCGATAATGCATGTACAAAATATTTTTTAAGCAATAACTCGTGCATCTCACATAAATTTTAACTTTAATGAAGCTTCAATGTAAATTATGAATTAATTTAATTATTCAGTGGAAAACTTGTTAATTAATATTTGAATATTCGTCGGGATTTACCAATTTTA